ACACTCAAACACAAGCCTCAATAGGACTAAGGTAGTGAAACCTTAGAGAGTGTAAATTTTATATGTATCCTCTTTGTGAGAGTAACCCATACACTCGAACCAAACCTATCTAGCCAATACTTGGAAAGCCTGAAGAGCCTAGGAAAAGAATACTTGTAAAGCCTAGAGGGGCTTGTCAAAAAACACTCACAAAGAGCCGGAAGTGGCTAAATAAAGAATACTAGCGCTAGTGAGTGAAGCTAGCGGGCTAGGAATGGTCGAGAATACTTGAACCAGGAGTGGTTCTGACTTGGGTGGTCCATAATACTCAATGCTAGCCAGAAGTTCCTGAAAAGAAAATACTAGCGTTGGTGAGTGAAGCCAATGGGCTAGGAGTGGTCAAGAATACTTGGAGAACTAGAAGTGCTTTAAGAATACTAATGTTGGTGAGTGAAGTCGACGAGCCAAGAGTGGTCGAGAATACTCAGAGTCAAGAGTGGTCGAGAATACTCAAGGCCAGGAATGGTTGAGAATACTCAGATCCAGGAGTGGATGATAATACTTAATGTTCTTCATTTTGATATCTAGTGGAACCCTTTAGTTGAAGGAGACTGGACGTAGCTCAGTTGAGTGAACCAGTATAAAAATGATTGCTTTATTTTTTGTTTAACTAGGAACAAACCTTCTCTACTGATTAAATCTTTGTGAAAGACTTCGTCTAATATTTACATATCATTAAAACCATTTCTCAAACGAAGATGCAAATATGTTTAATAGATATATTACACTAAAAAGAATTATCTACTGCTTGTCTCTAAAACGAAACTATCTTGAAAAGGAAAATGTAAGAACTTCAATAATTATCATTATGAAACATTTTCCCTAGCAGACGATAAACCCTTCGGATGCATTGACCTTATGTTAAACAAATTTTGCATAACAATCTGATGTTTAAAAGTGCATTGGATGAAGAACATTACTCTTGCGAAAATGATTTGAAAATTCCTTCGTACACACACATACATATTCAACCCCCCCCCCTCCCTCTATATGTTTTTCTGCTAACCTCATAGAAGAAATGTTGTGTGTAAAGGTTTCTGTACAATTAATTATTTCAAATAGATTTAAACAAACATACAGATATCAAAGCCAAATAAAATAAATACATACAAAGAAAACAAAGAAAAGCAAACAAATATTTGAACTATTATTCTTATTTCGCTAATTTCATCATTTGTTTGGGCCTTACCCTATTTAAGCATCCCTAGTGGAGACACCATCTATCAGAACCCAAAAAATTATGATCTTGCCCACAGATGATTTAGACTTTTGTTTTGAAAACCTCATTGGTTAAGAAATGTCCGAAAATCAAACTAATCCTTAATCAATGATTTTAGAAAAGAGTTCAAAGGAGTCGCCACCGATATTTTACACAAAACATCAAAAAAAGAAAAGATTTTTAAAATCACCAAAATGACCCTCATAGCCAAAATTGGATTCAAGGTCGATTACGTTTAGGGAAGGTATTAAACGCCCTGTAGTGCCCTATATCAGTACCTATGATGAAACTAGTGCAATAGAGAATAAAACTTCAAATATTTGATCCCCTTTATTAATGGTTATTTATAGGCTTACTTTTAAAATTACACGATTGAACCTAAGATGTCTACATGGCCCTTTTATTTATGGTGATGTTTATGACAAAAATAGTAGATAATAAAGAAGGAATTTGATGGGAATACCTCTTGAACGAGCTTTTATGAAATATACTTCAAATATGATGGACTTGAGGCATTTTTTAGTTGTCTTCCACACTACAATTTACCTTACAAATCTCAAGAAATACAAAGAGGGGGAGAAAGAGAAGATTTTGAACTATAAAAGACTTTAGTAGGCAATTTTTTCCTTTTTTAACACTGTACACGAGTCTCATATTTATAGACGTCAGATTTAACCAGAATGATCGTTCTAATCACCAAAACTGATCGTTCTGAATTAGTTTCTTATGAGCAATTTTTGAATCTGGAATGGCCCATTCTAAAATCAGAATAAGTCGTTCTGGATTTGAAGTTAACTCATAACAACCTTGGTCAAAACAACCCATTTCAGATTGGGAATGTTCCGTTTTGACTTAAGATTTTTAGGCCATTTTAGGAGCTTGGAACGACCCATTTTAAATTGGGAACGGCTCGTTCTAGGCTCCTAATTCATCCATTTTAGATTTTCGGGCCTTCTAATCTCATCTTGGTCCATTCTGATGTCAATGAGCCATTCTAATGTCGTGTTGGTCAGTTTTGATGCCATATTCGGGCATTCGGGAACTCTTTCATCTCGTACTAAAGGCCCATTTCCTTGTTTGCATGTTCTAGACGAAATTAGGTGTCTACACAAGGTTTAAAAGATAAAATCCTAGGCAATTCTTCTTAACGATTACATGATTACATCATTGTCACATCTTCCAAAATCAAGGAATCACATTATCAAGAACAATATCTTCACATAACAACCAGGTATATCTCTAGAAATCATGCAATTATATCTCTAAGCTTAGGATACTAGGTATCATTCTAACCCCCTTCTAACTTAAGTGTTAGTGTTATTGCATGTGTGCCTCGTTCCTGCTCCTTCCCCCCCCCCCACTGTAAGCAACTAGAATACGAAGCTTAACATGAGACATGGGAGGTGGTTAGAGTTCTTTAAGGACTATAACTTTGAGCTTACCTATCATCCTAGTAAAGCCAATGTAGTGGCTGATGCCTTAAGTAAAAAATCCCTAAGGTAGGTACCGATCTACCTAGTTTATGGCCTTGCAACATTAATGTTCTACAATAGGTTTTCAACCGACTGACTTACATTAACATCCATAAGATGATTGATTTCATGATAGGTAAAATATTGATCTATTACTATGGTGTAACTAACATAAAACAAAGATATAACCACACAATATTTGATAAGGTAGGATATAGTAGGGCCAATAGAAATACAATCAAAACATACTAGAGATACAAGTCAAAAAATGGGGACATCATACAGATGGTTAGGTTAATAACAAGGAAAGCCCCCAAAAGTGATATACAGTATTAGTGAACAAAAGACCAGAGAGAGTGAGAGTATTTTGAGTGTTCCAGTAACAAGACCTACTTTGTGACCAAAACAACATGTATCATGATTTGTAGAATATAATTCTTTTTGGTACATAATAATTTAAATTAAGGTTAGGCTCAACCTCATGCAATGTTAGAGTCAATCACTAATCTATTTGAAGATTTTTAATGGGAGAGCGAAACTCTTATCCCATCTTCAATGAAAGTTCATATAGAAGGATATAAAACACAATGAAAACTAGATTTGATCACAAGTTTTAACTAGTAAGAATGAAGAGACTTAATCAACTAAGTCACCTTACAAGATATAACATATAATTCATAGACGGGTCTATACTTAAAGAGTGGGGACAATTGCCTCCACTAAATTTTTACTCTTTATTATTATTATTTATACTATATTATATTTTAATTGTTCTTAATATATTTTAATATGCTATAATATATTAGTATTTAATTTATATTTTATTTTATCGAGTATAATTGCTCTCACGGACAAAATTACCTTTATTATTATTATATGTGCAGTATTTTTTACTTAAAAAAATCTATCTCCTAAATACTCATTAAATTAAAGATGTCAAAATTTAATTTATTTTTTATTTTTTATTTTTTATTTTTTATTTTTTATTTTAATTTTTAAATCATTTTACTGTGTATAAAAATTTAATTTTTTTCTTTTATATGAATATTAAAAAAAATTTATTACCCCCACTAAATATATTTTCTGATCCTTCACTAATATAATTACTCTCAAACATTACAACCAATTGTAAAGATTCCTAATTAGGTGGTATTTAAGCAAACTATCTCATACAATGACTCGAATAATCTTTTGAGTTGACTTAGTTTTGGATATATATTATATGTGTATCAATCAAATATCTTTACACCAATTTGTCCCCATTTTCCGTATCATCTAGACAGTTAATTGCTAAATGCCAAATAAAAAGTCCACATAGAAACAGATTGATATATTAATTGTTTTGTACCGACAAAATTAGATTTGGGAAATTGCTAAGAAAGTGCTACTTTGGACATTTGCAAATACTGAGTCTCATCGGTATTTCTTATACCAAAGCCTATTTGTCAGCCATGAAGTAAGAGCTTCTCCGTGAAGTTTCAACAACAATCAATTTTTTAATTAGTTAAAAAGTTAAATTGCCTGTTTATAGAAATTAAGTCGTTTTTCTCTATAAAATAAATAAATAAATAAAAAGTTGAAGAGATCTTACGAAGACAAAACTAGCAAAAGGCTTTAGCAAAGATGCCTCAATTGTAAAACCGCAGAAAAGAAGAGAAAAGTGCTACTAAATATTACAAGCTAGATCTTTTAAAGCCTTAAAAAAATGTTTAATGTTTAGATAATTGCAGGACATGAACAAAAAATAGACACTTGATTCTTAAAATGAATCTAACTTCCTACAAAGTTTGGAAGAAAACTTGTTGAAATTATGAATATCTTGTCATCAATGACAAGTTAATATGCTAGATAATTCTGAGATAAGAATGTCAACATCACAATTCTTTATTAAACAATGAATTTTGGACACCTTTGTTTTTTAAAACAACTCATCAACACCTCTGTTTTTTATTTATGTTTCTTCCTAACATATCTTATCACATTTCATACTTATATTTTTGGTTTATTTTTCTTATATTTAAATTTGGAAGGAGTATGATGCAAGAAATAAGATATATGTAGTCTAAGTTTATATGTTATTTTCCTGTTGGCTAGCAGGATTAAATTATACTTTATTGTTAAATTATACATGATCACCTAGATTTTTCAGTTTTCTTCCACAATCCTCTAGACAGAAGATCAAGCTTCGGTTTTGAAATCAAAAGTTCTTCAAAAAGAATTTTTAATACAGTATTTTTCCCTCTTTTGCTCTTCAATTTTTCACAGTAGCCATGCCTGTAGAAGAAGTATTTTTGTCAGCTTTCCTTCAGGTTTTGTTTGACAGGTTGGCCACAAAGAATGTTATTGAGGTTATTCTTGCAGGAGACAAAGGCAAAATCCTAAAGAAATTTCAGAAGACTTTGCTTCTCATTAAAGCAGTACTTAACGATGCAGAGGACAAACATGTAAAGAATGACGCTGTGAGAATGTGGCTGGTTGACCTTAAAGATGTTGCTTTTGATGCAGAAGATATTCTTGATAAGTTTGCTACTGAAGTGTTGAAGAAGAGGTTGGAATCAATTTCTCAATCTCAAGTTCAAACCACCTTCACTCGAGTATGCAATCTTATCCCAACTTCTCTCAATCCGAGCAATTTAATGTTTGATGTTGAGATAGAATTAAAGATAAAGGCAATCACCGAGAGACTGGAGACCCTTGCAAATGAAAGGCATGAGCTTGGTTTAAGTGAGGTGGCTGCTAGGTGTTCATTCAAAATCAACGAAACAAGTTCCACGGTGAATGAGTCCTACATCTATGGCAGAGATAAGGACAAAGATAAGATTATCCAGCTGCTGATGGAGAATAGGCCAAGTCATGGTGATGAAGTCTTGGTCATTCCCATAGTGGGAATGCCAGGTATTGGGAAAACAACGTTGGCTCAAGTTGTGTTCAACGATGACAAAGTGAATACCCACTTTGAACTCAAGGCTTGGGTATCTATACCTGATGATTTTGATGTCAAGGTTGTAACTGGAAAGATCCTAGAGTCAGCCACTTCTATAACTTGTGATTTCAATAACTTGCATCAGCTTCAAATTAAACTCAAAGCAGCCTTGAGTGGCAAGAAATTTCTGATTGTTTTGGATGATGTGTGGAACAAGAATTACAATGAATGGATTAAGCTGGTAGCTCCATTCAGAGGAGCCGCACGGGGAAGCTCGGTGATTGTAACAACAAGGAGTGCTGAAGTTGCCAACATGATGGGAACTGTTGAATGTCACTATGTCAACCAGTTATCTGATGAGGACTGTGAATCAGTGTTTATGCAGCATGCTTTTAGGAGTAAAACTATTGATGCAAATCATGCCTTTACAGAACTTGGTAATGATAAAAAAATTAATGCACCCAAATATTTATGTTTGACATTATTAGTGTCATTATTTGTAATTGATTGATTGGTTGTCTTTTCTTGTTTCTTTTATTTACTGTTGTACATACCTAAGACTATAAATAAGCATAGCCTTTTGTAATTTATATGTACTTCAAATAATATATTCATATAAATCCTTAACTTCCTAAATCCTTATAATTTCAATATGGTATTAGAGTTATGATATCCACTGTGTTGAGTTTATGGAACTTGGATCCTCCACCCCTTAGGCCTATTTGTGATTTTATTTGCTTTTGTGGTTAATTAATTAATTTAATTGATTGATTGTCTTCCACTATTTTATGTAAAATGTATTTATCACTGTACAACTCTATTACCATAAGTATCACCTTTTATATTTACATGAAGTGCAAATAATATTCTTATATTCCCACCTAAATTCCAATAATTTTAACAGGTAAGAAGATTGCTAGGAAATGCAAAGGGTCACCATTGACTGCAACAACACTTGGGGGTAATTTATCCTCACAGCGAGATGTAAGAGAGTGGGAAAATGTAATGGATTTTGAAATATGGGATCTTGCAGTGGAGGAAAGTAACATCCTTCAAACATTAAGATTGAGTTATAATCAGCTTCCTCCATACCTGAAGCCGTGTTTTGCTTACTGCTCCATACTACCAAAAGGCTTTGAATTTGAGGAGAAAGAGCTTGTGTTGCTATGGATGGCTGAAGGACTTTTAGAGCAACAATCTCAAAAGCAACTGGAAGATATTGGCCATGAGTACTTTCAAGAGCTACTATCTGCATCACTTTTTCAAAGGTCAACTAGCAACAGATCATTGTATGTAATGCATGACCTTATCAATGATCTAGCTCAATGGGTTGCTGGAGAGTCCTGTTTCAAATTGGACAATCATGTTCACCCTCACAGACGAAAGAAAAAGAAAATTTCCAAAAGGACTCGGTATGTATCTTACATTGGTGGTGAATATGATGGTATTCAAATGTTCCAGGCCTTAAAAGAAGCCAAGTCCTTACGAACATTCCTCCCTCTAAAGCATTCACGGCTTGAAGAATGGTCCTACATAACAAATCATGTTCCTTTTGAATTGTTACCCGAGTTAAGATGCTTAAGGGCATTATCATTGAGTGGATATTTCATCACAAAGCTGCCTAATTCAGTTAGCAATTTGAATCTTCTACGCTACCTGAATCTTTCTTGGACTGACCTCAGACAGTTGCCAGAATCAATCTGCAGTCTATGCAATCTGCAAACATTACTACTGAGAGATTGTTTTAATCTTGAGCAGCTTCCATCAAACTTGAGTGATTTGATCAACCTACGTCATCTAGATATCACTAGAGCACATTCTTTAACAGATATGCCCCATGGTATTGGTAAATTGACACATCTTCGAACATTGACAGATTTTATTGTAGGCTCAAGTGGGATAGGAGAATTGATGAAGTTGATCAATATCCAAGGAGTACTTTCTGTTTCCAGGTTAGAGAATGTGTCTGACACTCTAGAGGCAAGTGGAGCTATGTTAAATAAGAAGGTAGGCATTGATGTGCTGAAATTGAAATGGAGTTTTATGAATAATCAGTCACATATTGAAAGAGCAAAAGATGTGCTTCATATGCTAAAGCCTCACAAAGGTCTTGCAAAGCTTACGATTAAGTGCTATGGTGGTACAAGTTTCCCAAAATGGATAGGAGATCCATCCTACAAGAGCCTAGTGTTCTTAAAGTTGAAAGATTGTGCAAATTGTACATCTTTGCCAGCACTTGGAAACCTCCATGCCCTCAAAGAACTTTACATTATTGGAATGAAAGAAGTATGCTGCATTGATGGTGGATTCTATGGTAATGCTTGCTTTAGACCTTTTCCTTCCTTGGAGAAACTACACTTTATGGACATGGAAAAATGGGAAAATTGGTTCCTCTCTGACAACAATGAGCAGAGAGACATATTTTCTTCTTTGCAGCAGATTTTCATTGTTAGGTGTCCCAAACTTTTGGGTAAACTACCAGAAAATCTCCCATCTCTCAAACATGTACTAGTTAAAGAATGTGAACAATTTCTGGTAACCATTGCAACCCTTCCAATGCTTTACACACTAGAAATTGAAGGATGCAAAGGGTTAGTCCTTAATTGCGCAAATGAATTCAATTCACTGAATTCCATGTCTGTTTCAAGAATCTTGGAGTTAACATTATTAATGGAGAGATTGGTAGAGGCATTCAAAAATGTAGAAGAACTCAAAATTGTCAGTTGTGCTCTTGATGAAATAGTTCTTAATGATTTATGGGGAAATGAAGTTTGGCTTGAGAAGAATCCACATGTTTTTTCATCCAAGCTCAAATTAATTGAGATTAGAAATTGCAATGTCATGAGATCTGTACCTAAAGTACTAATGGTTAACAGTCATTGTCTTGAACGCTTGTACATATGTAACTGTGATTCTCTAGTCTTTATCACAATGGATCAATTTCCTCCGTCTCTGAAATCATTGGAGATATCCAATTGCAAGAACTTGAGATGTTTACTTGAAAATGGAACAAGCTCTTCTTCATCAATAATTATGCATGATGACAATGTACAGCAAAGTGGCAGAAACCACAGAATCATTTCTCATTTGGAATATGTATACATTGGCTGGTGTCCATCTCTCACTTGCATTTCAAGAAGCAATGAGTTACCTGAATCTGTCAAACTTTTGTTCATTTGGAACTGTTTAGAGCTATCATGCTTGTCAATGAAAGACCAACTACCAAAAAGTCTTGAAAAACTGGAGATTCAAAACTGTCCAAAGCTGAAGTCAATAGCAAACAGGTTGCACAGAAACACCTCCTTGGAATCTATTCAGATATGGAACTGTGAAAACCTCAAATCCCTTCCTAAAGGACTGCATTTCCTTGTGAATTTAAAGGAGATCAAAATTATTGGTTGTCCAAATTTGGTTTCTTTTCCAGAAGAAGGTTTGCCAACCTCTAGTCTGACAGAACTTTGCATCATGGGCTGTGAGAAACTAGTGGCCCTACCAGGCTGCTTGCATGATCTTGACTCCCTCAAAGAGCTGGAAATAGGATACTGTCCTAGTGTTCAATATTTTCCTGAGATAAACTTTCCAGACAACTTAACATCCCTTTGGATCAATGACCATAATGCCTTTGAAGCAATGTTCAACTGGGGTTTATACAAGCTCTCTTTCCTTAGGGACCTCACCATCATAGGTGGAAGTTTGTTTATGTCACCCGGAAAGCTGGGGAAAATGCTTCCCTCCTCCCTAACTAGCCTCACTATTCAAAGTTTTCCACACTTGAAAGACCTGTCATTAGAGGACTTCCATAAACTTACCTCTTTATCTAGCCTAACCCTAAGAGATCTCTCAAATCTAAAATTCCTACCATTCTTGGGGTTTAAATACCTTACCTGTCTTGAAGAACTTTCTATTTATAACTGTCCCAAGCTATCATGTTTACCAAAAACTGGCCTTCCTTCGTCACTTTTGGAGCTATATATACAAGACTGCCCTATTCTGAAAGAACAGTGCAGCAAAGGAAAAGGGAAAGACTGGTTGAAGATTGCTGACATCCCTTATGTTGAGATTGATGGAAAACTTATCTATGACTCAGATTATGAGGATTGAATTTTGACTAGCTTTATCACAAGGTAAAACTCAGAAGATAAATTAAGTTATTACTTCTTTCAGCTTATTGTTTACCAAAACTATATCTTTTACCTACATTATTTTTCATAACATGATTTTAGTTTCTTCATACTTCCCTTCTTCAACTCAGATTTAGCATAGTAGTATCTATTTCACACTATGGGAGGACCTGTTGGCGAGTTGTCTTACTATGGTCAGATCTTGAGACTGGAAAAGGCTACATGGGTAATGAATTATCCATGGTTCCAGGTATGGAATCTTAAATGTTCTATAGAATCTAAATTACAGTAACCAAAATATTATATCATACCATTTTGTAATCAATATAAAGGAAATTCTGGTAATTAATGGTCGACTCCTTGATATCTTCCATTCAGGGAATCTTGTGCAAGTGTAATAATCTTCTCTTTTCAAAGCAACCAGCAAATAGATTCAAAGTAGACTCCATATCCAAAATTAGAACCTAACTTGTCAATACTTAATGAGCATATATATCATATGTACCAGACTTTTGAACTTCATTGCATCTGTCTTTCCAAAAGGAAATAATCTGCTTGTTTGCAGAACAGTAGAAGAGATCAAATCAAAATCTTTAAAAGTCTAATTCCTCAAGCCTCCCACATAATTTTTGGCTTACAAATCCAACCTGATAACAACATTGAGAGAGGCATAATAATAAGAAATATCAACATATATCTTCCAACACAAAAGTAGCTAGAAATTTTTCAGTAAAATGCAAGATTTGTTAATTGAGACCAGACACAATTTTGTCTTCAACTAATCATCATTCTAATGACAAATTTCAGGAATTCCTCTATTCCAACCTCAAGTCCACTGGATTTATTAGAGACAGGCATCTATGGTATTGTCTGTTTATAAACTATCCTTAATTTCAACTTCTAAGTGATGTACAACTTACATTCGAGAACATCCTCTATTTTGGTATTTGATGTAAGGTTTGGTTTGAGACTTCATTCCAATCCATGAGCCTTGCAAGTTTCTGCTCTTAAGTATTCTGGTTCTGCACTAAGCACCAACTTCATATATATTCAAAAGATGTGTACTGCATTATAGCAACTATGAAGAGCATGTGTATATCCATTAAATACACCTAGTCCATTACACTGTATATGTTATTTTGAAATAGTTGAATTGAAAACAACGTCGCCCTGCTCATAAATTAGTAAGGTCTTACTCTCAGTTTTTTAGTGTTTGAGGGAGGTCTCGTAATTTAATGTAATTGACTACAGGATACAAGTTAAAATCAGAATAAAACTAGTAGGGGAGAGGCAGACTCTATTATTTAAAAACTAAACTAAAAATAATTAGGCATTTACGAAAAGTACAAAAAAAAAAAAAAAAAAAAAAA